CCCTTGACTTCGGATGAGATTGCAGGCTCACGCGACGCGAACGAGACTGCCGTCTCACGTTCCGGTCGCCGAGTACGGTTGCTCGTACGCTTCCGTGAATAGTCGCACAGTCAACAACCGATACGGTGTAGGATTACTCCTATGTTACACGCATGCTACACTCTTCTCTTTTTTGATTTTCTTTTTGTTTCCTGAGCCCACGCCTTCGACCATCTCCGTCTGGTACCGTCGACTTCAGTCAACTTTGGCGAAAGCTGGCCTGATCACCCATGCTCTTGTCAACGTACTCAGTCGATATATTGGTTTCGAATGCTTGGCATACGCTTGGTCTCGAAGTTGGTCGTTACGGTCGCTTCTGGTCTTTTGGCTCAACGTGGTTTCGTCCTACGTCTGCAGCGTTTCTGGTGCGCATCTCTACGAACGCCCTCTTCAGATTCTGGATACAAACCACTCTGGTGTAGCATGCTAATTCAAGCAACAAATACAGCACATCGCTCTTGGTACCGTTCTCCGAAAACGACCTTCGTTGGCAACTCGACGATCAGCGATCGCTTTCCTGTTCGCCAATTCTTCCGTCCTACAATCGCTCGTCAGCCGATCAGTTCTACGATTCAAACCGCTATTTATCGAAAGTGTAAACCCTTTCTAGCGGGAGGCTCCTGTAGTGACTCACGTTTATCACGAGAACACGACTGGTTTAATAAAAACAATTATTATTATAACCAACTGTACCAGTGTTTGTTTTAATGTGCTTTTGTTTGACTGTGCTAATGACAGCTATTTTGTGCTTCCATTCTTATACTCACACTTCGATTGCAACTTCGCGCGAATTCGGTTACCTTCTGTAACCAAGCTTGTATTCTGGCGCGATCTCGGTATCCTTTCGATGCCACGAGATCGCCAGCAAATAAATATCTCGACTTGGTCCATTAATTGCCTTCTGGTATTCGGCTTCTCGGGGATTTTGTGGAGTCATTTGGAACGAGCTTCTTACGCCTTCTGATTCGCTTGGCACGTGTTTCTTGGTAGCGGTGTTCACAGTTAACTCGACGCCACGCTACAATTGGTGACCCGTATTTTGGAACACGCCTCAACTTCTGATCAAATCTTCCAAAGAAGCCAATTCGGTGAGTCTATGATTTATCTATCCACGTCTGTCGTATATTTTCATATTTTTTAATATATAATATACGCGACATGATGGATAACGATAAGAATAGTATTAATATAATAGACTCACACGTATGTGTACCGAACCCTTGTCACTTTTTATTCGCGTGATGATGAATTCCACGCTTTATTCGAGAAATGTTACCCTATTAACTATTCTCCTCGCTGACCCGGCTGCTTGGTACGGAATGCATACGCATAAGCATATCCGTCTACCACCCAGCACCAAATGGTTAAGTTGAACGGTTTCACTGCCAACTTAAAAGTGTTCTACGAGCACACGAAAACGGCAACTGGCACGAAACCTTACCGCTCGTTCTTTTAGGGGTGAGAACGAGCTTAAAGGCATATATCCAATGTTCCGCCACTGAACTTGTATACGGCACGACATTGCGTCTGCCCGGAGAATTCTTCACACCACGGAGCAGACCTAATTTCGGTAAATCAGACTACGTCCATCGACTGTCTGCATTTATGCGAACGCTGTCTCCGGTGTCAACTCGAATACAACATCGACAGGTCGCTCTCTCTCGAGAGTTATCTACCTGTTCACATGTTTTTGTACGAGTAGATTCGGTACGCAAACCTTGGCAACAACCTTACGAAGGCCCTTTTCACGTGATCGCTCGTCACGAAAAGACCTTCAAGGTTGATCGATATGGACGCGTCGAGATCGTCAGCATTGATCGTCTCAAACCAGCACACGTCGATGACAGTGCCCTATCTGACACCCTGAGACTCAATGCCAGACCTATCAAACCTAGCGGGATCCTCAAACCATCTTCAGGTCCCACGCTAGATGCATCTGAGACCTCATTCTCACGTCCCGGTCAACAGCACGCGTCATCTGCACCTTCTACGGATGAGACGACAGTCTCACGTCCAGATCAGCAGACCACGCCGCCCTTGACTTCGGATGAGATTGCAGGCTCACGCGACGCGAACGAGACTGCCGTCTCACGTTCCGGTCGCCGAGTACGGTTGCTCGTACGCTTCCGTGAATAGTCGCACAGTCAACAACCGATACGGTGTAGGATTACTCCTATGTTACACGCATGCTACACTCTTCTCTTTTTTGATTTTCTTTTTGTTTCCTGAGCCCACGCCTTCGACCATCTCCGTCTGGTACCGTCGACTTCAGTCAACTTTGGCGAAAGCTGGCCTGATCACCCATGCTCTTGTCAACGTACTCAGTCGATATATTGGTTTCGAATGCTTGGCATACGCTTGGTCTCGAAGTTGGTCGTTACGGTCGCTTCTGGTCTTTTGGCTCAACGTGGTTTCGTCCTACGTCTGCAGCGTTTCTGGTGCGCATCTCTACGAACGCCCTCTTCAGATTCTGGATACAAACCACTCTGGTGTAGCATGCTAATTCAAGCAACAAATACAGCACATCGCTCTTGGTACCGTTCTCCGAAAACGACCTTCGTTGGCAACTCGACGATCAGCGATCGCTTTCCTGTTCGCCAATTCTTCCGTCCTACAATCGCTCGTCAGCCGATCAGTTCTACGATTCAAACCGCTATTTATCGAAAGTGTAAACCCTTTCTAGCGGGAGGCTCCTGTAGTGACTCACGTTTATCACGAGAACACGACTGGTTTAATAAAAACAATTATTATTATAACCAACTGTACCAGTGTTTGTTTTAATGTGCTTTTGTTTGACTGTGCTAATGACAGCTATTTTGTGCTTCCATTCTTATACTCACACTTCGATTGCAACTTCGCGCGAATTCGGTTACCTTCTGTAACCAAGCTTGTATTCTGGCGCGATCTCGGTATCCTTTCGATGCCACGAGATCGCCAGCAAATAAATATCTCGACTTGGTCCATTAATTGCCTTCTGGTATTCGGCTTCTCGGGGATTTTGTGGAGTCATTTGGAACGAGCTTCTTACGCCTTCTGATTCGCTTGGCACGTGTTTCTTGGTAGCGGTGTTCACAGTTAACTCGACGCCACGCTACAATTGGTGACCCGTATTTTGGAACACGCCTCAACTTCTGATCAAATCTTCCAAAGAAGCCAATTCGGTGAGTCTATGATTTATCTATCCACGTCTGTCGTATATTTTCATATTTTTTAATATATAATATACGCGACATGATGGATAACGATAAGAATAGTATTAATATAATAGACTCACACGTATGTGTACCGAACCCTTGTCACTTTTTATTCGCGTGATGATGAATTCCACGCTTTATTCGAGAAATGTTACCCTATTAACTATTCTCCTCGCTGACCCGGCTGCTTGGTACGGAATGCATACGCATAAGCATATCCGTCTACCACCCAGCACCAAATGGTTAAGTTGAACGGTTTCACTGCCAACTTAAAAGTGTTCTACGAGCACACGAAAACGGCAACTGGCACGAAACCTTACCGCTCGTTCTTTTAGGGGTGAGAACGAGCTTAAAGGCATATATCCAATGTTCCGCCACTGAACTTGTATACGGCACGACATTGCGTCTGCCCGGAGAATTCTTCACACCACGGAGCAGACCTAATTTCGGTAAATCAGACTACGTCCATCGACTGTCTGCATTTATGCGAACGCTGTCTCCGGTGTCAACTCGAATACAACATCGACAGGTCGCTCTCTCTCGAGAGTTATCTACCTGTTCACATGTTTTTGTACGAGTAGATTCGGTACGCAAACCTTGGCAACAACCTTACGAAGGCCCTTTTCACGTGATCGCTCGTCACGAAAAGACCTTCAAGGTTGATCGATATGGACGCGTCGAGATCGTCAGCATTGATCGTCTCAAACCAGCACACGTCGATGACAGTGCCCTATCTGACACCCTGAGACTCAATGCCTAGACCTATCAAACCTAGCGGGATCCTCAAACCATCTTCAGGTCCCACGCTAGATGCATCTGAGACCTCATTCTCACGTCCCGGTCAACAGCACGCGTCATCTGCACCTTCTACGGATGAGACGACAGTCTCACGTCCAGATCAGCAGACCACGCCGCCCTTGACTTCGGATGAGATTGCAGGCTCACGCGACGCGAACGAGACTGCCGTCTCACGTTCCGGTCGCCGAGTACGGTTGCTCGTACGCTTCCGTGAATAGTCGCACAGTCAACAACCGATACGGTGTAGGATTACTCCTATGTTACACGCATGCTACACTCTTCTCTTTTTTGATTTTCTTTTTGTTTCCTGAGCCCACGCCTTCGACCATCTCCGTCTGGTACCGTCGACTTCAGTCAACTTTGGCGAAAGCTGGCCTGATCACCCATGCTCTTGTCAACGTACTCAGTCGATATATTGGTTTCGAATGCTTGGCATACGCTTGGTCTCGAAGTTGGTCGTTACGGTCGCTTCTGGTCTTTTGGCTCAACGTGGTTTCGTCCTACGTCTGCAGCGTTTCTGGTGCGCATCTCTACGAACGCCCTCTTCAGATTCTGGATACAAACCACTCTGGTGTAGCATGCTAATTCAAGCAACAAATACAGCACATCGCTCTTGGTACCGTTCTCCGAAAACGACCTTCGTTGGCAACTCGACGATCAGCGATCGCTTTCCTGTTCGCCAATTCTTCCGTCCTACAATCGCTCGTCAGCCGATCAGTTCTACGATTCAAACCGCTATTTATCGAAAGTGTAAACCCTTTCTAGCGGGAGGCTCCTGTAGTGACTCACGTTTATCACGAGAACACGACTGGTTTAATAAAAACAATTATTATTATAACCAACTGTACCAGTGTTTGTTTTAATGTGCTTTTGTTTGACTGTGCTAATGACAGCTATTTTGTGCTTCCATTCTTATACTCACACTTCGATTGCAACTTCGCGCGAATTCGGTTACCTTCTGTAACCAAGCTTGTATTCTGGCGCGATCTCGGTATCCTTTCGATGCCACGAGATCGCCAGCAAATAAATATCTCGACTTGGTCCATTAATTGCCTTCTGGTATTCGGCTTCTCGGGGATTTTGTGGAGTCATTTGGAACGAGCTTCTTACGCCTTCTGATTCGCTTGGCACGTGTTTCTTGGTAGCGGTGTTCACAGTTAACTCGACGCCACGCTACAATTGGTGACCCGTATTTTGGAACACGCCTCAACTTCTGATCAAATCTTCCAAAGAAGCCAATTCGGTGAGTCTATGATTTATCTATCCACGTCTGTCGTATATTTTCATATTTTTTAATATATAATATACGCGACATGATGGATAACGATAAGAATAGTATTAATATAATAGACTCACACGTATGTGTACCGAACCCTTGTCACTTTTTATTCGCGTGATGATGAATTCCACGCTTTATTCGAGAAATGTTACCCTATTAACTATTCTCCTCGCTGACCCGGCTGCTTGGTACGGAATGCATACGCATAAGCATATCCGTCTACCACCCAGCACCAAATGGTTAAGTTGAACGGTTTCACTGCCAACTTAAAAGTGTTCTACGAGCACACGAAAACGGCAACTGGCACGAAACCTTACCGCTCGTTCTTTTAGGGGTGAGAACGAGCTTAAAGGCATATATCCAATGTTCCGCCACTGAACTTGTATACGGCACGACATTGCGTCTGCCCGGAGAATTCTTCACACCACGGAGCAGACCTAATTTCGGTAAATCAGACTACGTCCATCGACTGTCTGCATTTATGCGAACGCTGTCTCCGGTGTCAACTCGAATACAACATCGACAGGTCGCTCTCTCTCGAGAGTTATCTACCTGTTCACATGTTTTTGTACGAGTAGATTCGGTACGCAAACCTTGGCAACAACCTTACGAAGGCCCTTTTCACGTGATCGCTCGTCACGAAAAGACCTTCAAGGTTGATCGATATGGACGCGTCGAGATCGTCAGCATTGATCGTCTCAAACCAGCACACGTCGATGACAGTGCCCTATCTGACACCCTGAGACTCAATGCTAGACCTATCAAACCTAGCGGGATCCTCAAACCATCTTCAGGTCCCACGCTAGATGCATCTGAGACCTCATTCTCACGTCCCGGTCAACAGCACGCGTCATCTGCACCTTCTACGGATGAGACGACAGTCTCACGTCCAGATCAGCAGACCACGCCGCCCTTGACTTCGGATGAGATTGCAGGCTCACGCGACGCGAACGAGACTGCCGTCTCACGTTCCGGTCGCCGAGTACGGTTGCTCGTACGCTTCCGTGAATAGTCGCACAGTCAACAACCGATACGGTGTAGGATTACTCCTATGTTACACGCATGCTACACTCTTCTCTTTTTTGATTTTCTTTTTGTTTCCTGAGCCCACGCCTTCGACCATCTCCGTCTGGTACCGTCGACTTCAGTCAACTTTGGCGAAAGCTGGCCTGATCACCCATGCTCTTGTCAACGTACTCAGTCGATATATTGGTTTCGAATGCTTGGCATACGCTTGGTCTCGAAGTTGGTCGTTACGGTCGCTTCTGGTCTTTTGGCTCAACGTGGTTTCGTCCTACGTCTGCAGCGTTTCTGGTGCGCATCTCTACGAACGCCCTCTTCAGATTCTGGATACAAACCACTCTGGTGTAGCATGCTAATTCAAGCAACAAATACAGCACATCGCTCTTGGTACCGTTCTCCGAAAACGACCTTCGTTGGCAACTCGACGATCAGCGATCGCTTTCCTGTTCGCCAATTCTTCCGTCCTACAATCGCTCGTCAGCCGATCAGTTCTACGATTCAAACCGCTATTTATCGAAAGTGTAAACCCTTTCTAGCGGGAGGCTCCTGTAGTGACTCACGTTTATCACGAGAACACGACTGGTTTAATAAAAACAATTATTATTATAACCAACTGTACCAGTGTTTGTTTTAATGTGCTTTTGTTTGACTGTGCTAATGACAGCTATTTTGTGCTTCCATTCTTATACTCACACTTCGATTGCAACTTCGCGCGAATTCGGTTACCTTCTGTAACCAAGCTTGTATTCTGGCGCGATCTCGGTATCCTTTCGATGCCACGAGATCGCCAGCAAATAAATATCTCGACTTGGTCCATTAATTGCCTTCTGGTATTCGGCTTCTCGGGGATTTTGTGGAGTCATTTGGAACGAGCTTCTTACGCCTTCTGATTCGCTTGGCACGTGTTTCTTGGTAGCGGTGTTCACAGTTAACTCGACGCCACGCTACAATTGGTGACCCGTATTTTGGAACACGCCTCAACTTCTGATCAAATCTTCCAAAGAAGCCAATTCGGTGAGTCTATGATTTATCTATCCACGTCTGTCGTATATTTTCATATTTTTTAATATATAATATACGCGACATGATGGATAACGATAAGAATAGTATTAATATAATAGACTCACACGTATGTGTACCGAACCCTTGTCACTTTTTATTCGCGTGATGATGAATTCCACGCTTTATTCGAGAAATGTTACCCTATTAACTATTCTCCTCGCTGACCCGGCTGCTTGGTACGGAATGCATACGCATAAGCATATCCGTCTACCACCCAGCACCAAATGGTTAAGTTGAACGGTTTCACTGCCAACTTAAAAGTGTTCTACGAGCACACGAAAACGGCAACTGGCACGAAACCTTACCGCTCGTTCTTTTAGGGGTGAGAACGAGCTTAAAGGCATATATCCAATGTTCCGCCACTGAACTTGTATACGGCACGACATTGCGTCTGCCCGGAGAATTCTTCACACCACGGAGCAGACCTAATTTCGGTAAATCAGACTACGTCCATCGACTGTCTGCATTTATGCGAACGCTGTCTCCGGTGTCAACTCGAATACAACATCGACAGGTCGCTCTCTCTCGAGAGTTATCTACCTGTTCACATGTTTTTGTACGAGTAGATTCGGTACGCAAACCTTGGCAACAACCTTACGAAGGCCCTTTTCACGTGATCGCTCGTCACGAAAAGACCTTCAAGGTTGATCGATATGGACGCGTCGAGATCGTCAGCATTGATCGTCTCAAACCAGCACACGTCGATGACAGTGCCCTATCTGACACCCTGAGACTCAATGCTAGACCTATCAAACCTAGCGGGATCCTCAAACCATCTTCAGGTCCCACGCTAGATGCATCTGAGACCTCATTCTCACGTCCCGGTCAACAGCACGCGTCATCTGCACCTTCTACGGATGAGACGACAGTCTCACGTCCAGATCAGCAGACCACGCCGCCCTTGACTTCGGATGAGATTGCAGGCTCACGCGACGCGAACGAGACTGCCGTCTCACGTTCCGGTCGCCGAGTACGGTTGCTCGTACGCTTCCGTGAATAGTCGCACAGTCAACAACCGATACGGTGTAGGATTACTCCTATGTTACACGCATGCTACACTCTTCTCTTTTTTGATTTTCTTTTTGTTTCCTGAGCCCACGCCTTCGACCATCTCCGTCTGGTACCGTCGACTTCAGTCAACTTTGGCGAAAGCTGGCCTGATCACCCATGCTCTTGTCAACGTACTCAGTCGATATATTGGTTTCGAATGCTTGGCATACGCTTGGTCTCGAAGTTGGTCGTTACGGTCGCTTCTGGTCTTTTGGCTCAACGTGGTTTCGTCCTACGTCTGCAGCGTTTCTGGTGCGCATCTCTACGAACGCCCTCTTCAGATTCTGGATACAAACCACTCTGGTGTAGCATGCTAATTCAAGCAACAAATACAGCACATCGCTCTTGGTACCGTTCTCCGAAAACGACCTTCGTTGGCAACTCGACGATCAGCGATCGCTTTCCTGTTCGCCAATTCTTCCGTCCTACAATCGCTCGTCAGCCGATCAGTTCTACGATTCAAACCGCTATTTATCGAAAGTGTAAACCCTTTCTAGCGGGAGGCTCCTGTAGTGACTCACGTTTATCACGAGAACACGACTGGTTTAATAAAAACAATTATTATTATAACCAACTGTACCAGTGTTTGTTTTAATGTGCTTTTGTTTGACTGTGCTAATGACAGCTATTTTGTGCTTCCATTCTTATACTCACACTTCGATTGCAACTTCGCGCGAATTCGGTTACCTTCTGTAACCAAGCTTGTATTCTGGCGCGATCTCGGTATCCTTTCGATGCCACGAGATCGCCAGCAAATAAATATCTCGACTTGGTCCATTAATTGCCTTCTGGTATTCGGCTTCTCGGGGATTTTGTGGAGTCATTTGGAACGAGCTTCTTACGCCTTCTGATTCGCTTGGCACGTGTTTCTTGGTAGCGGTGTTCACAGTTAACTCGACGCCACGCTACAATTGGTGACCCGTATTTTGGAACACGCCTCAACTTCTGATCAAATCTTCCAAAGAAGCCAATTCGGTGAGTCTATGATTTATCTATCCACGTCTGTCGTATATTTTCATATTTTTTAATATATAATATACGCGACATGATGGATAACGATAAGAATAGTATTAATATAATAGACTCACACGTATGTGTACCGAACCCTTGTCACTTTTTATTCGCGTGATGATGAATTCCACGCTTTATTCGAGAAATGTTACCCTATTAACTATTCTCCTCGCTGACCCGGCTGCTTGGTACGGAATGCATACGCATAAGCATATCCGTCTACCACCCAGCACCAAATGGTTAAGTTGAACGGTTTCACTGCCAACTTAAAAGTGTTCTACGAGCACACGAAAACGGCAACTGGCACGAAACCTTACCGCTCGTTCTTTTAGGGGTGAGAACGAGCTTAAAGGCATATATCCAATGTTCCGCCACTGAACTTGTATACGGCACGACATTGCGTCTGCCCGGAGAATTCTTCACACCACGGAGCAGACCTAATTTCGGTAAATCAGACTACGTCCATCGACTGTCTGCATTTATGCGAACGCTGTCTCCGGTGTCAACTCGAATACAACATCGACAGGTCGCTCTCTCTCGAGAGTTATCTACCTGTTCACATGTTTTTGTACGAGTAGATTCGGTACGCAAACCTTGGCAACAACCTTACGAAGGCCCTTTTCACGTGATCGCTCGTCACGAAAAGACCTTCAAGGTTGATCGATATGGACGCGTCGAGATCGTCAGCATTGATCGTCTCAAACCAGCACACGTCGATGACAGTGCCCTATCTGACACCCTGAGACTCAATGCTAGACCTATCAAACCTAGCGGGATCCTCAAACCATCTTCAGGTCCCACGCTAGATGCATCTGAGACCTCATTCTCACGTCCCGGTCAACAGCACGCGTCATCTGCACCTTCTACGGATGAGACGACAGTCTCACGTCCAGATCAGCAGACCACGCCGCCCTTGACTTCGGATGAGATTGCAGGCTCACGCGACGCGAACGAGACTGCCGTCTCACGTTCCGGTCGCCGAGTACGGTTGCTCGTACGCTTCCGTGAATAGTCGCACAGTCAACAACCGATACGGTGTAGGATTACTCCTATGTTACACGCATGCTACACTCTTCTCTTTTTTGATTTTCTTTTTGTTTCCTGAGCCCACGCCTTCGACCATCTCCGTCTGGTACCGTCGACTTCAGTCAACTTTGGCGAAAGCTGGCCTGATCACCCATGCTCTTGTCAACGTACTCAGTCGATATATTGGTTTCGAATGCTTGGCATACGCTTGGTCTCGAAGTTGGTCGTTACGGTCGCTTCTGGTCTTTTGGCTCAACGTGGTTTCGTCCTACGTCTGCAGCGTTTCTGGTGCGCATCTCTACGAACGCCCTCTTCAGATTCTGGATACAAACCACTCTGGTGTAGCATGCTAATTCAAGCAACAAATACAGCACATCGCTCTTGGTACCGTTCTCCGAAAACGACCTTCGTTGGCAACTCGACGATCAGCGATCGCTTTCCTGTTCGCCAATTCTTCCGTCCTACAATCGCTCGTCAGCCGATCAGTTCTACGATTCAAACCGCTATTTATCGAAAGTGTAAACCCTTTCTAGCGGGAGGCTCCTGTAGTGACTCACGTTTATCACGAGAACACGACTGGTTTAATAAAAACAATTATTATTATAACCAACTGTACCAGTGTTTGTTTTAATGTGCTTTTGTTTGACTGTGCTAATGACAGCTATTTTGTGCTTCCATTCTTATACTCACACTTCGATTGCAACTTCGCGCGAATTCGGTTACCTTCTGTAACCAAGCTTGTATTCTGGCGCGATCTCGGTATCCTTTCGATGCCACGAGATCGCCAGCAAATAAATATCTCCACTTGGTCCATTAATTGCCTTCTGGTATTCGGCTTCTCGGGGATTTTGTGGAGTCATTTGGAACGAGCTTCTTACGCCTTCTGATTCGCTTGGCACGTGTTTCTTGGTAGCGGTGTTCATTGTGAACATCAACTCGACGCCACGCTACAGATGTCTGCTATAAAATATCTAATAGTTCATCTACTGAGAATGAAAATGACGACGAAACGCATAAGAGTTATCACGCAAAGCAGTTAAATTACGTAGAAACTTCTACTTACATTTTATTTCATCAATGAATGCAGTCAAATGCTCAAGGTGATGGTGAGCTGTCTCACACTTAAGTAATCAGTCAGGACATAATCGATTATTTGTAAATTCAGACTTCGCGTACAGCATCAGGGAAGATATACTGCGCAATCTAGGAAGGTAGATGTCTACATCGGAACAAAATAGATGCACTGAAAATACTTCCAAACTGTTTCACTTAACAGTATTATCGTTACGTGAAATTTTTCTCTTTTTTTCACATATGTTAACTTGAATTCAGGACATATGTCTCCATATTCTTCAGACTTGTACCACTAGACTTATTCTTTGACTGGTTGACATTTGTCTCTAAAGTTTCATATTATTGTTGTATGGTCTATGGCTGCTGACAATATGGGCTTACTTAACTGAGCTCAAGAATGCTTCACACGGTGGAATATCGTTGTTTTTCTTTGACTACCTGCTTGTGGAGTTGATTTTTTTATTTAGTTACTAGACTTTATATATTCCATGGTAATTTT